AGAGCCCCCACCAGAATGCCCAGTCCACCTGTCCTCAGAGCCCCCGCCAGAGAACCCTGTCCCCCCGTCCTCAGAGCCCCTTTCAGACAACCCAATCCCCCCGTCCTCAGAGCCCCCACCAGAATGCCCAGTCCACCCGTCCTCAGAGCCCCCTTCACAATGCACAATCATCCCATGCCCAGAGCCCCCACCAGACAACCCAGTCCCCCCATCCCCAGAGCCCCCTTCACAATGCCCAGTCCCCCCGTCCTCAGAGCCCCCACCAGAATGCCCAGTCCACCCGTCCTCAGAGCCCCCTTCACAATGCCCAGTCCCCCCGTCCTCAGAGCCCCCACCAGAGAACCCAGGCTTCGCTTCCCCAGAGTCCAAATCAGAAACGCCCACCAACTCCAGACATGAAAAAGGCCCCTGTTGAAAGTGAATTGGCCCCTGAAAGTCCCCTGAGAAACCCCCTGTATCAGAGCCAACCACCTTGTGCCACATTAGACGCTCTTAGCCAAAGTCTCAGTAATTCACCGCTGAATGTTAACAACATAACCCAGAATGCCTCGCTGTTTCCTGGTAGGACCGCAGACGGTCAAACAGAGTTCTTCCAAGCACCTCCAGCCTCACCTCACAGTGTTACCTCTGAATCTACAGCAGTATTTGCACCAAACTCCCTCAAAGCTCCTACTACGATGATGGCAAGCCCCGCCCACTCAGATCCATTTCTCTTGCCCTCAGTTACGTTTTGCACCGGCATCCCTTCCCACACCCTGTGCTCCCCCCCCACCTCTCTCCTCTGCTCTCTGGAATCTCCATTCAGCTTCCCCTCTCCTCAGCTGGCTATACCCCCCCCACATCAGAGCCCGCCCCCTCTGGAGCTAACCCCGCCCCCTGCCCAGCTGCTTGGCTCTGATGATGAAGAGCAGGAAGACCCTTCAGATTACTGTAAAGGTGAGTTTATCTGAACTTTTGGGATATTAATGATATGATTGTTTTCCTAAATGCTGTTTGATGATAGAAACCCCTCGTCTTAAAGATGGACAAAGTTTCTACCTAAAACCAGAGGCTGGTTCTACAGCAGAAGAGCTGGATGCAGATCAACTAAATAAAGTCCAGATGAATCCTTTTTACAGATCACACTTTAGATGACTGAGGTCAGTCCAGTTGACTGATTATAAGATGGAAGGTGGCCCGTTTAAGATTTCACTGGTTACTGTCCAAATCGGAGCAGAAACCAAGCATTGAAGGTATAGAAAGTGTAGAATCGCAGACTGGGTGGCGTAAGGTAGAATGATGAGGGATGCAGGAAGGAAATCCCTTTGGGAAACACCTGCGAACCACTTTGGTCTTCATTGTTTTGAATTATAAAAGGTCTAGGGACGGGCCTGGTGGTTCCCAGGCCCGTCCCTAGACCTTCCTGCCCAACCAGAGAAGGATTCGTCTATAGATTTTGAAAATATATCTGGCCAGATGCCAACAGAATCTTTGGCCTCGATACTAAAATGCTTTGCACCAATGAAATTGAAAAGGGTGAGGGGGGGACCCGTTCATCCGTTTCTATTTGCATGTTTTCTAAACTAAAACCAGGCTTGGTTGGGCTGCTGGATAA